AATATCTTCGATTTACTACAAGCAGTACTTTGTCAAGCAATTCCAGCTAAAGCAGAATTGTCTGAATCGTCCAGTGGTCACTCTTCTGGTCACTCACATTAAGAATTTTACATAGCAGTTTCGTGGTGCATGGAAGCGAATTAGCCCTACTTAACCTTAACTGACCAACGTGATTAAGTTTGGTCATTCTGTAGCTAATGCATGCACCAAAATTCCGACTCATAGACAAAAACACATCTTTTCGCACCGCATACTAATTTATCATTAGCATTTTGGGCGTCTCTGTTATTGAAAATTTTGCACATTTATGCAAATGCAAAAACGCATACTGCAATTTTTTGTAGGAATGGCTGAAGAGACAGAAGAAGGGAAAGATTCGCCGCCGCCACCATCCGAGTGCGACAGCAACAGTAACAGCGGCTCGCTGTTCAGCAGGCGCTATCCGGACGACCAGTCCTCGTCAGGATCGAACGAGCGCTCACCGCGGAAGGACAGCGATGAGAAAGTCGAGATTCCGGTGGAGATCGCGGAGCCGCCCGCGCCTGCGCCTGCGTCCAGCCCAGTCCTCACACCGCTGCAGCTCCGGAGACGCGAGCTGATCGAGAAGCTGGCCAAGAATCCGCCCAAAATCAGCGAGAAGCCGGTGATCGATCTTGCCACTGAAGAGGTGAGAGTTCTTGCCAATAATCACCACTGCTGAGCGCCGTTCTTCCGGTGGAGAGTTTGGTTGCATATGCAGTTATGAAGAGGTCATCTTCCACCACGCAACAGCCCCCTTCATAGCATACGAATTCCATTTCTTCTAGCTATTTTAGTGGAAGATTTTCAAGGAGTTATTTAGGAGAAGCGATCTCCCAACGATGAATGGTTTGAAAAGAAATTCCAGCATGAACCAAAGGCACGCAAGGAAGTCCCTGCCGATCTGTACGTTTTTTTTTCGTGCTAATAAGATATTAGTGGTAGCATGTGTAAAATATGCATGTAAATTAAGAAACTCGTAAACAGACAAATTGATAAATTAGTAAATTTATAAAAGAGTAAATTGACAAATAAATAAATTTGCGAGTTAACCAATACACAAATAAATGAATAAATAAACAAATCAGTTAATATAAGTACATATTTACAAGCATGCATGTATATATAATAAATAGTAGCACACATCAGAATAGCCGATGCGTTTTGTGTAATTCCGTACACCGAACAATTGCCTGTTAATGATTTTCATTGCTTTCCATTTTGGTCTGCAGAAATAGTTGAAATGCCAAAAAATTCACGCCAAAACTTCCACGGAGACGCTGAAATTTTACGAAGTTGTATGTAGGCAGGGGATGCCACTCTAAAATTTCAGCTTTCTAGCTTTTGCGATTCACAATATACTAATTTCCCTACCAAAACTTTCACGGGTCACATATGCTACCGGAGGCACGTGAAGGCTGAATCCAAATTTGCGGGGATCGTACGGTGATAGGGGACATCACCGCAGGATTTCACTTCCTAGATTCCGTGGTTCTCGAGATAGTGATTTACCCGACAAAAGTTTTACGAAGCCCGCAGCTGATACCCGGGAGGGCGAGGACTCTCAATTTGAATTTTCAAGGTCGTACGTAAGCAGGGGGTCATTGCCATAAAATTTCGGCATTCTAGATTCCGTGATTCCCGAGACAATTATTTACACGGCAAAATTTTGATGGAGCCATACGTTTTACCCGCAGGCAAGAGAAGACTAAATTTAAATTGCGTGTGGCACAAAATTTCAGCCTTCTAGCCTCCGTGATTTTCGTCATAATTTTACCCGCCAAAACTTTTACGGGGCCGTACGTGTAACACGTGGGTACAGGGAGGCTAAAATTAAATTTACGGGGTCACGCGTGGGTGGGGAATATTCCCCTAAGTTTTCAGCTTCCTAACTTTTGTAGTTCCCAAGTTGAAAGTTGCGGACAAGTTGCTGCGGACACACACACACACACACATGCACACTAAGATACACGTAGACAACCCCGTGACAAAATGCGTTTTGTGTTGCTGTTGCAAAGCACAAAACGCATAAAAATAATTCAATGCGTTCTCAAAAAAAAAAGTTTCAGTTAGTGTTTTCTGCTCAAGAAGTTGTCTTTTCGTATTTGCCTCCTCCTTAGCATACATAATGCTTCATTTTGTTTCTTCACTTCTCAACATCATTTTGCCAATCTAGAATTTATTTTTTGCTAACGTTAGAGTCCACTGTGTGTGTTTTTTTATCCTTGAATCAGCTATCTGCCCTTCCACCTTTGTTGATTTTTTTTTCATCGTTGAATTTTTTCAAATTTTTTTAAAGCGGTCGCATTTGGCTACAATCTTATCCCTCGTTAGACCAATTTATTTGAAAGTTTATGAAATTTTAGAAGAATTTTACTGCACAGAACGCGTACAGTTCTCTTAGTGCTGTAAAATATACACTTCTAATTATAAAACTGTATAATGTCATTTTTTTCTCCTTTTTTTAAGCCTATGACTTAGGAATGCCAATCGCATTCCTGTCTGTTTACAATTTCTTCATTTTTGTCCTATCCCCTTTTTTTGT